CAATGTCTCGCGAGAGACCTGTGAGTTGAACTTGGGCAGCCAACCTCTCCATTTCCTATTAAAGTGTTTAGCCATTGTAATCCAGGTAAAACCGGGGACTTGTACTTACACTTCGTATTGGAAGGTCTTTTTCCACTTTTGTCGGCCCACAAGAGCCTCAAGTTGCTTCTCACCCTTGCCATCACCAAGGTCGATCTTTTTATCCATTTGTTCCCGATCTTTGTCCGATAGAATGCGAGTCTGTTTCAGGAACACCTCTCGATCATCACCATTAGCATACCGCCACTGCAGGTACTGGTTAGGTGTCTTCTCAAGATGCATCTCCACGTGCTCGAGGGCGTGCTGCTTGATGTATCCAATACGTAGATTTGGATGCTTCTCAACCCGGCCATTGGTGGGAGTGACTTCGCCAGTCAGGAGCTTGATCAATGTCGATTTGCCCGCGCCGTTGGGGCCGATAACAGCAACTCGAGAAGAGAGACTGAGCTGGCAACTAACGTCAGCAAGCGATGGCTTTGGCGCCCCCGGGTATTGGTAGGAGACGCCGGTCATGCGAATGATAGCCCGAGTCTGGGACTTGACGCCCGTTAAAATACCGGGAGGTGGAAACTTGAACTGGACATTGGAGGCTGAAAGGGTGTAGTAGGCCTTGGCCTCTGGGCGAACATTGACGAATGCCGCCAAATTTCCTTTGAAGTGGCCGAGTTTCTTGCCCGGCTCGTAATGATAGATATCGGTCGTAACGTTGTCTAGAAAGCCCGAATCGTGAGAAACGATCAGACTGGTGATATCTGTATGAGACTTCAAGTAACTCTCCAACCATGCAATATTGGTAACATCCAGATGATTGGTAGGTTCGTCCAGAAGCAGAACGTCGGCTTTCTGGAGCATAGCCCGAGCCAAAGCCAACTTCATCTTCCAGCCTCCGGACAATGACCCAACCTTTTGAGATTGACGGCCTTCGGGTCCGGACGTGAAGCCGAACTCTTCCAGTACTTCTGAAATCCTTTGCCGGCCTTCTGAGGCAATTGTTGGATCCTTGACCATGAAATCAAGGATGCTAATATCGGCGTCCTCACCCTGATTGTGTTCCACGTAACAGGTCCGAAGGACGTCCTGAGAAGGGAAGCCCTCTAGCTTGCCTCCGGCGATACTCTTCATAAGTGTCGACTTGCCAGCTCCGTTTCGGCCACAGAGACCATAGCGATGTCCTTTGAGGAGCCGTAGGTTGGTATGAGACAGCAGAAGCATACCGCCATAAGCAAGGGAGAAGTCAGCATTGACAATCTCAGTCTCGCCGTCGTCCTCCTTCTCCGGCACACCGTATTTACGCCCATCTTCTGCGACGTAGTACTGGTGAACAGCGGAGGCGACAGCGTCGCTAGCGCCTGGCTGATGCATCAGATCCTTTAAATAGGGGCCAACCCTGGCGGGAATCCTGCTAACATGGCGGTAATTGGAATCATCGGCAACCATCTCACAGATGTAGGGACGGACCAGCTTGTAGAACTCCAGGTCACCAGATAATCCTCCGTTTTTCTTAATCTCAGAGTCAAGAACCTTAGCGACGTCGTCGACCGAAGTGCGTTCCACAGCAGCTGCATCATTACCCATGGCCTTGTCCATGACATCCAAGGCCCTTATAGCCAGCTCGCGAACCTCAGGCAAGGGGGCTCGCTCCGCTACAGACTTAACACCCGGTTGAAGCTTTGGGAGGAATGTCCGCGCCTCGATGGGGTCGTGTACCAGCTTGGTCAAGTTTTCAGTGATAACGGTGGCCTGTCGTAGCACTTCTTGAGCAGTACCAGGGTTATTTAATGTGCGATCAAGAAAGGGAGTCAGGAGCGCAAGGACCGGTGACGTGACAATAGCGACGAATGTGGTCTGGGAAAGGGCATGGATTGCCTTCTGGAGAGCTTGAGTCGAGGGATGATGTAGGGTTTCAATGAGTAGGGGGATTCGGGGCGCAACATCGTCGTTGGATAATAGAGTTGTGAGAGACTGCATAGTAAGGAGTGCCTGTTTCTCGACCTCAGATTTGAGATCGTGCATGTTGTTCTCAGCGATGGGAATCAGAGCAGCAAGCTTTATACCCATAGCGTCTCTTAGGAGGTCCTTCTCTAGGGCTTGCTCCTTGGTGCAGCCAATCTCCATTTGGGCCTTGTCGGCCATACGCTGCATCAACTTGAGAGCCCCAACAGTACCCTGCCACTTGCCCGTCTTCTTAGAGAGGTAGGATATGAGGGCTGGTAACAGGCCAGCGACCAGTGCCTCGGCACTGAGATGACCAAATAAGGCATCTAAGCCATACTGGGCAGCATCGCGGACAATGGGACCTTTGTCAGCGAGGGCGTCGAGCGCGCAGGCGACCAAGCCGCCATCCTGCAGTAGAAAAACAACCTCACTGAGGGGCTGTCGCGAGGGAAATTTCTCGAACAAGGCACCGAGGAGGTTTTGGGCGCTTTCGCGTCGTAGACCGCTCTTTTTATCGGCAGCGGCCTTCTTGACTTCGGCGAGGACGCCATACTGGTGAAGGCCACGGTAGCCGACAGTGTTCAACAAGACTTCGCAAAGCCCATATGCGGCGTCGACGGAAGCGGCGGAAGACGTAGCTGTAAATACGGTATTGAGGATAGCAGAAACATCCTCCTGTGAGGGCGGCGGAGGGACATCGCCAGATTTGGTCACCATTGTCGGCGGCGATAGAGAGTGAGGCATCGTTGGGCGGTTGGAGGGGAGAGGGGAGAGGGGGCCGTGGGTGGCAGTGTGATCAACGATGAAACCGAAATGTAAAAGAAAGAACACAAGGCCGCCTAAGATATAAGAGACAGCGCAGATGCGCAGTAGTCTCGAGGCGCTTGTATCGGAGAAAGAATAGCAACCTTCGTCCGAGATGCCTAACTTTCTCCTAATAAGTGAAGGGGAAAAGGAAGGGATGTAGAAGGCAGTGCAGCACCGGCTGACAGGGAAGACAGATAATGGCAACAGAAATTCTCCTTATCGGAAAACTTGACCCCTCCAACTCTTTTCTTTATCTTTATCGAAATAGATTTGCGCACGTGAATTCTACCTTGAGGGCCCACCGACACGAAAGACCCACTCTGCCACTAAACCCTGCCGTATTGAATCATGGGGCTTAGATAAGCACCTTTACAATAGCCATGGTTGGTTGGTTGGTTGTAAATTTATAGGTCAATTCTGCACATACTATAATAAACGAAAACTATAATAAGCGAAAGTTTCTTGACGTTCGATGTTCCCAGTGTTTCTACTGAAAGTCCAACCTTTCTCTTGTAACCCCCTCAGACAGACTAGAGAAGTGTGAATCGATTTCAACGGCAAATATTTTGGGAAGATAACCGTCCTAGCATCGAAGTATGGTAGTACCATAAAAGAAAACATAAAATGCTTTCAAGTCTTATACATTAAATTAAGGAGGTAACTGGCTACAATATTTTCTAGTTATTTTATTTTACCTCTGGTTATAGGTTTATTCTCACGAGGCAATTTCAAAGGGAAAGAGACCTACCCAGCAGACTAGGTCTTATGGATGGGATACATTCATTAAGACAGGCAGTTGGCATGACTTTGGATCCTAGCATGCCGGCTTTCTTCTTTGAAACCCCGTCTCAGCGTCTTATCGCCTCTTCGTTGATTTTGGTTTGCTTATCGAGCCTCTTGCACATAAGGGATGTATGTTGCGAGAGATGGCAGTGCTGTCAGCGAAGGATTTAAAGCACCACGTAGATATTCGATAATGCCTTTACCAGACATCGCTCTAATTAGTCTGTATTACAAACCATATATATATTTATATTTATCATGAACAACGAACAGTACACACGTGATGCTAACGACAGCTAGCGCACTTGACCTAAACTTGCTTCACTCTGATGAACCCTGTGTTGATTGCAGCGTTTGGCCTCGACTTCCGAGCACCATTGTTCACATGCCCAAGTATATGGCGGCCAGATCCGTAGCTATGTCGGTATACAAATATTTCTGCCCAGCAACATTAGAAATACAATATTTGGTAACCGCGTGCAAACCAAGCATGAGGGTGCAGAGGTATACAGTCACCATTACGGTCATGCCGGATAATAGGTATGGAAGCCCAACAACGCACGCCGACCTCAACTGATCGACACGACAGCAACCCGCAGATATAAGTATATGGTTGCAGGCACCGTAATTATACTCGAGTCAGATCCATTCTCTTCAATAAACTAACATAGCTGAGGTCGAGCTGTCATTGACCGAAGACTCTCGCTAAATTACGGTCTGGTTTACCTAGTTAGATTTTCTGTGAGATAGTCTATTTTCTTTTCGAGGTAATCGCTTGTGCGAGAGAGCGTAATTTGTCCCCAATCGTGATTGTCGGGCAATCAAAATCCGGCAAAAACGTAAAATTTTGATCACAGCATTCCTTTACCTCTCGCCTCAGTATGTCTAGCATAGCGTGCACTCGGACAGCATTATTCAGGCGAGTTACTCAGCAGATGAGGCTTACCAAGGCAGCTGGTCTCTTCGAAAACCTTCATAGCTTCATGTTTTCACCCCGTTCAGTAGAAATACCCGAACGCTGTCCAAAAGGAATAATACGCCAATTAGATACTGATAAAGGATTGATAGTGTGCTGAGCCGGAATTTGAAGGTGGTGCCCTCCATTTCTGATAATTCATAGGTAGCGTGTGCTTCAGTTCTGGAATTTAAGCCACGCTGGTTGGCGGCGAACATGCTAATTATAGTCGATTGCTGTGGAATCAACCAGCTTTTGACAGCTAAAGCTCAGGCAAACACGACAAATATCGATGCATGAGCGTACCAGCTTGCGCTTCCGCGCTTTCTTACACATCTTCCAAATAGTATTAACGTAGATGTAGTAGTGGGTGGGAGTAATTTGTCAGGTCAAATAACCGAATAGCAAAGTTTACTGTGGAGACTTACAGTTCCTAATCACTTAAATAGATAGTGTTTGATTAAATGTCCTAATATTATCTGCCCGCTTGGCTAAGTGGTATAGCGTGTCACTAGTAGTTCCTTTAGATTCTTCTTGAGATTTTACGTGCCATGACAAGATCAGCGGTTCGATTCCGCTAGTGGGCATTCTTTTTTCTATAATCTTGAAACAACTCCGCTCTAGTAAATAAGGCTTATAAAATTATATTCTTAATATTTTTCTACTTAAACACTCATGCAGTTAACTAATCCTAAGGAGTTACTTCTACATTTTGTACCTGATTATACTGTGAATATATGTAAATGTGTTAATTAATCTAGGTAGTGGTGTGAAGGTGGTGGCAAGCCGTCTGTAGTATTCAATTAAGCTAAGGTTTGAGTATAGTCTGATGGACTGACTAAGTCCACATGCAAAATGGCCGTGTGTTTTATGAGTGTATGGGGCAGGTACCTCCAGCTGGAGTACAGCAGACCTAGCGTTACCCCCCTTTTTCTCTCATGTGGACGCTTAGGTTTAACATCCCGATGAAGCCAACATACGATTTGCTACATTCAATTCTTGAAAAATTTGGGCGCAACCACAAGTTCATCATTCTACCTCGGTTGACGAAGCCTGTAATTAAGAGGCTGCTCTTACCTTTCTGCCCATTTATCACGCCCATGATTTGGGATACTACATACATGTAGGGATGAAAAGGTACCTATATACTAAACTCACTGAGGGCTAATTAGTCATATATTGTTGACTGGGTCCCAGTGGCAGTCAGGGGTTCATGATGTGATCTTTGGGTATCTTTCTTAATAAGGTTGGGATTAAAACTAAATATTATTTCATACTAGGAAGGCAGGATTTAATCTCTAGGGAGCTGGGCCTTTGTCCTCAGGTCTATTTTCAAGGCTGTTTTCTATAACTTTTATGGTATACCTGGCATCCGGGAGAGTCAACACCAAGTGCTTTGATCTGGTCAGTGGCTGATTGTGTAAAGCATATATCCCTTTCTAGTTAACGATGTCGTTGAGATATCTAATTCAGAGCTCGGTTGATCTCCCTAGACATGTAGAAAGACTACATTCCCTGATAAGTATTGCGGGCAGGAGGAATATCGACTGTGAGGCCAACCTGCTGATTCGCCCACCACTTAAAAATCGATAACTTAGCTGAATACATATTTATGAACTTAGTTGTTACTCTGATTAGTAAAAACAGTGTCACTAGGCGGAATTCAAGAATATCATTCTACGTTTACACACTATGAATTGATGTACAAGTTGGTGAGTTATGTTTACTGAGAGACTATGAACGTACACTGCGCTCGAGATCATGGACTAGCAGACATGGTCTCTTGCGGTAATTACTAACAGCAATGTTGTTTCATTTGCTCTTCTTAATTCTAACTGGAAAGGTATATAATTCTATTAGTGTTATATGCTGCTTTCATCATGATAGTCGGAGTCCTATGATGTTGTTAGTTAATTTAACTCCGTTTTAATCTTCTGCGTTAGCTAGTCACAAACACATCACGAAGGGTTTGAAGAATAGGATGAAAATGAACGCCATAATTACTCTTCAATACAAAGAACGCACAAGAGACCCCTGTCACTTGCTATAGGGGTATATTTATTGCTCAAGCCTTTAGTATGAAAGAAACGTATCAGAAAATCTATCGGCCGGCCTTAACGTGTTCTATTCAGACCAGTCAAACTCCAAAAAGCCTGATGTCCACATCGACTGTCCGGTAGTGTTAGTCAATAATTTTGACCAGGCCACTCCACTCTTCTTACGAAGAGCGCTTAACTGAACTAGGAGGACCACCTCCATCTAGATACTCTACAGGCAGGTAAACCAAAAAATGGACACATATCCCTTAACCTTTATATACGTAGAAATGGCGATGATACTACCAAAGCAATTTGGAATAAAACAAATTAAAGAAATGTTTGCTTAAGCTTTTATAAGTAGTTTCAAAGTTAGAAACAAGTTTTTTATATGATAAACCCGAATTCGGTGGTTAGACCCAGACTGTTGTTAGGTCGGGAGCGGGCCAATTTTTTGTCACCCGCTTGATACTGTACTGTGTAAACTTATTCCTGTATCCGTTAGAGGGCGGCACTTCTTACAAGTGATGTATGGTATTTGATTACCAACAAGCTGTAAGCCTCGATTGATATGCACAACGTAGCATCGCAGCAACCTTATAAGCTGAAATCAGGGCGGCCGACCCCAACCGCTCCATCACCAAACAATCTATTTATGGGCCGTGGGCAACTTAATCATCATGACTAGCAGCTGACATATTCTTTTTCTCTTTAAACCAAATCCTGACCAAGGACTGCATGGGGTAGAGGTCCGTGCTTGTTAAACAGGAATTACCGGATTAGGGAAACGAGATAGCCTCACTAGTGGAGTCGCTGCAGGTGCATGACTGATCTCGTCTTTGAGAGTTGCCACACACGCCTTGGCTCGCGATTGCTATTGCTTCCTCTTCAAGACTCTGCCACTGCGGTGCAATAAAGCGTGCAGAAGTCGTCACAATTCTAACAAAGGCTGCTGTCGTAATGATGTTCATATTTGTTGTCGATCCTTGAATGAGAGGCCTAGATCAAGTGCCAAGCATAGATACCTGCATGGATAGAATCAACAGTCGTAGGGGATTTTTAGATAGCCCGACTCTTTCTCACAAACACAACTCTAGGTAAAGACAATGACACGTCAAGCTGTGGCGCAGCGTCGATTGCTTATGACGTTGCTAAGAGTTGAAATGCTGGTAGGTACGTAAGTTGGCAGCAGAGAACAAGCTACTTACTGGTAGTAGAAACGGATGGCTTACGATACATCCCCGACTAGGCACTAAAAGTATCACGGGAATTCACAGGATTGATTCATTCGGGACTTTTAATTGTTTCAGGGGTCGGGATGCAGTTAGCTTCCTATCTAATCCAGGCACGGCAAGTTCCAGCGTTCCACCCCAGGCCAAGTAAAAGACCAAGGGTCACCTAAGGAGGTAAAAGCCCAACCGGAGTTACGGGGTCAAGGTCAGCGTTCACACTACCAGCCGGCAACCCCCGATCAATATTTCGTCGTTTTACAACACCTACGCGTACTACAACTCTTCCGCAGAGTCACATTTTCAAAAAGTACACGCATATCGACATGTTATTCTTTCTTGGGATTCTTGGTGTCGATTTGTATTAAAAGAGCCCTGGACGAGCTTGAAAAGACGCGAGGTACACAAGCACCGAGCCTGAACGCATCCAGTCATTCAATTCTAACCGTCTTGTTCAGCCATTATTACTTTCTGAAAGACTCGCAATGGTTATACCACAGTCCACGAGCTTTCAATTCATTACCTCCATAAACACCGTTGCCCACGATGAGGAGACGCGCCGTAAGGTACGCTCCCATGCGAGGCGGCAGAAGCTCTCGAATGAGGACAGTCCTCCTCAGTCGAGAAAGTCAAGTACGCAAAAGGAACGCATTTCGAAATTCAGACTGAAACCTGCCGCCCAGTCAAGCGACGCCGGATCCAGCAACAAGACCAGCAGTTTCACTAGCGGCAATAGCAGCAGCAAGAAGCCTCCGTCGATCCTCAAACTTCATGATCCTGTGCTCGGGGGTCATGCCGAGGGGCAGGGCAAGGACTCTAACTTCACGCCCACTATGGTGTCACAAGAACTTGCTTTAGTAGTAGCGCGGGAGCTTCCAAGCTTCCCTATGCTACAAATTGAGACCACGCCTCTGACGGAGACCTTACTCAAGTATTGCTTCACAGTATGCTTATGCCCACATGAAGCAATGGTGGAGAAGTGGTTTGACCGTGCTGGAGCGCCAACATACATGATGACATGTATGTAGGCTCTTACCCCTTAACGCTGTTTCTACTTAAGGCTACTCTCGCCATTCTTTCTCAACCGTGACTAACTTTCTTAGACTACTCAGGCTTCCTTGCCAATGCATTCGCCATGAATCCAGAAGGAAATTTCTTTGATGCAGTGAGTGTGGCTACCCCCCGGTACCATTCGTGTAGCCCATCTGATGTTAACTTGCACTGCAGTTACACGTCGATACTGCTATCACTCATGCGTTCATGGCGATGGTCGCATCCATGCAGTATGTATAGAAGCTTATCTCTTGCTCATACTGCTTCTGCCTCGTTATTTGGGGTTGACATAGTTCGGAGGGTTTTGGAGAGTGGCCACTGCTATAAGTGTCTGACAAGAAGTTGGCGCTAACAGACCATTCTGTGCACAGCAATGCACTAGCTCAATGGGACGATACGACTACATTCGATTTCCACCGCCTCCAAGCCATAAAGGCTATCAACGAGCGATTAAACATAGAAGGCAAGAACCCAAACGTTCCCATCTCAGATGGTATCACCGTGGCGGTTGCGCTGCTGGTTAATAACGAGGTGAGAGAAGATAGCGCTGTCAGTAGTCGCCCGTTAAACATTAACTGGGACGTATAGACTTTCACTGGTTCTATTCAAGCAGCAGCAGCTCACATGAGTGGGCTAAAGCGCATTGTCGACTTGCGAGGGGGCATAATAGAAGGTTTTAATTATGCCAACATGATCCAGAGGACATTAGCGTGGTAAGGACAGCAACTTATTGCCTTGAGCTTCTAATCGATCTATAGACTAAAGCAGATAACAGGGCAGACTTTTCCTACGCTTATGCAGCGGGACAACCATTGATGTTTCCATTCATACCGCAACTGGCGTCCTCTCTCAGTCTTCACGACCGCTTCTCAAGTAGATTGATGGGGGCCACCGTGGAGTCTTTAGGGTCCAAAGACTTCGTTATTCGTAATCGACAATTAGTCGAGATATTCGAGCTTCTATATTCGATCACTGAGTGCCTGGGCTCTTTTGACTACAGCAATCTAGCGAACATGTCAACCGAGCGAAAACAATTGGGCGATTCAATATATTTAGCGGAATGGCGACTTTTTCAACTTGAAGAATCATCGCGCAACCTTAGGTCTGCCGAAAGCACGAGTCCGCTTCCGCCGGGGACTCGAGATGATATGAAGGGAGAAATTGGAGGCTCAACAACGATTGATATGTCTGAAAGTCTCATGTACGCAGGTCACTTGTTTATGCACTTGGCGATTCGCGGGCAGCCCCCAGCTGCACCTAGGCACCGCG